TTGGTAGGGAATTCAATATATTTGACATGACTTATCAATCTCTATAAATGTGTCTTGTATGACAGGAGTTCTGTTGATATTTATAGAAATATCTTTTAGTGTTAACAATAATTTATGAACAAAATGTAGGCTCGTTAGCCTGAAAACGTCGCTTTCAGTTTGAAAACCAAAGCTAGCACCCAGCGGAAATTGGGTATGAAAGAAATGTGCTCACCATAAATAAGCGCAAGTAGTTGGTCTTTTACAATGCGACTCATTTCGTGAAAATGAGGTGGTGGCTAATAAGCGGCGGAATCGGGGGAGAAACCGGGCTAATTTCCTGATACTGCAATGAACGTTTAATGAACTGGTATCGTAAAACACCTTAATGTGGGTACATTTTTAAACGAATAATACGTAAGAAACGTAGAAACGTAGAAACGTGTATAGAGCAGAAATCGTGAGGCATTCTATACTCTGTGCCAGAAAAACAAACCAATCGAATTGGAGCTATTGCAAACAAAGTGCAGTGAATTTATCGCCGTGAGCCATCAGAAGACCGAACAAAGTTCCGTTTCTTGGGCTTATGACAATGGCAAATTTCCAGCAGACTTGGGCCAAAAAGCTGTCCAAATCTTTTGAGCTTCCCCAATGCCAGAAACGGACATCGCGGATTTTGGGGTTGTGCAAAGACCGAAAAGGCAGAAAATAATAGAAATAACGGCGATTGCATCAACTTACGTTCGTGTTGTCCGTTGCTTGGGTGTCTGGTTTCCTTTTAGGCCTCAAATATTAAATGAATTGCTTATTCCTTATAGAAAATGCCTCGAGCAAATTGTTCAATGGCCCGCGTAAGACAAAAACTTGTGTGCTTTCTTAAGCACTCTTTTTCTAACACACAAAAACACACTCGTAGCGCCGCACAGTGGTTCTTAGGCCCCGACTTCTAGGGTTTTGTCTGGAGCACTGCACTGGATGGGCTTTCTGGTTTTTTTTCTCAGCTTGTTCGAACTGCGCGCAGACGCAGAGCGTTACCGACTCAGCTTCTGGCCAGCAGGCGCCAGTCTTTTTAAACTGGCGAAAAGCTCAAACTCAACGAAAGACAGCTTAAAGCTGGGCCAAAGCTGCGCTCTCTGAGACTTGGTCTGAGGCGAAAGCTTTTGAAGCTTGCAACGAGTAGGTAAGTAAATTGGTGCAATTTTACACAGCCTATTTCCACTTCCCTTTAAACTCTGCATAATTGTTATTACTAACGTATTTCGTATTATTTATTACTACTCAAGAATATTTTCTAGTGTTGCAAAACTCTCTTAAAGCACCCCTAGCTTCGGCTAAGACGTCACAGGTTCTTCAACCACCGCTTTCAGCTAACAACCCACACAAAAAGCTGCTAACTGTGCGCCTGCGCGAGTTTAACGATTTCCCAGTCGAGCTGAAAAGCCACTGGCAAAATAACGTCGAACGGCCGTAGAACTGCGTTGTCGAATTTTGTTCCACAATTTGTGGATATCAACGAGATCACACTATTCGGTTATTAATTGTGAAGGTGCAGATAGAAAAAGTAAGGCTATTATACACTCAAGCAAGCAAAATGTAGGGCTAAACAGGCCTGCGAGGAAAACCCAGGAACTACCAAGTAGCTACTGGGAGTAATGGCTTTTGCAGGAATCCCTGAAGGGGCAACGAACAGTAGATACACATACTGAGTGTGATAGTAAAAGTGATTCGTATGCTATAATGTTACGAAAACCTAAATGAAAGAAAAACATGCATTTTAGTTGGCACTTTCCCATTGAACTTGGCTTCCAGAAGTTGAAAACCTGCGAACTTCGTGTGCGTGATGATTCATGCGACCCAGACGAGCACCCAACTGCCCATGTGTGTGTGACTCTCCCGCTCTCTGGCCAGAGAGTGCGCCCGAGTGGGTGTCCTTAAGCAATGCAAATAACAACAAAAGCCAAACGTCAGCAGAAGACGGGCAGCTGCTGCCCGAAAAAACCAAAAAGCCTCTAGTCTCTAGCCTCTAGCCTACATTTGTGCGCAAAATCGAAGCACGCAATTCTTCACGTGCCCCGAATGTTGCAAACATCCAAAGACAGCCAGCAAAACTTTTCCTCCTCACTTTCAAGCCGTGACTAATTACTAATTGTTATTCCACACAGCCGCCAGGAACATCGAGTGGAAACGTGCTGAGAGCGGCGAAGCCAAATCCATTAAAATGGCTGAAGAGTACATTCCAGATGCCAGCGTCATGGACACGAGTAAGTAACATATTGCAGCGGCCAATGCGACCTTTGTGCTCGATCTGGCCAATTTGTTCATTAGCAACTCGTTCAAAGTGTTGCACAGAAGTTGTGCCCAACTTTTCGGTGGCAATGAATAATTCATTTGGGTCTTTGTTCTTGGGCTGTGTTTGCAGTGTGGGTTGAAATGTTTTAACTTGTAACGCATTTGCGAAAGTTGATTTTCTTGTGTATTAGGGGTAATGGCAATATAAGTCTACAAAACAACGCGCAGCTGTTGAGGGAGAAACCTTCTTTCCTTCTTTTTGTGACTAAACTTTCGATGACTAAGCGCAGATATTGTTCTATTTTGTTTACGAATATTAAAAATGAACACTGTTTTTCTTAATATTGGATATTTTATTAGGAACGCTTGCGTTGCGAAATTCATACCGTGTATGTAAAGTATAATTTATTTTGAGAAAACGTTTTGTTCTATGTTATTTTGTGAGTTCCCAATTATTTTTTAAATGTCCTATTAATTTGTTTTCGGGACTTAGAGATTAGACGGTCTACCTATATAATCTAAGCATGGATGGCAGTTTACACTGCGTTATTCACTTAGTGACATTCATGAAAGAAAAATAAGAACCTCATTACCCCCTTGCAATTATTTCATTCGACCTCTTCTTGGGTACAACTAATGCTTATATGTTGCCCACTTTCCCGTCCTGCTGTCCTTCCAGTTGTGCCCGCCATCCTGGGACTGACAGCGGCTGCTGTCCTCTCGTCAGTGGCCTGCATCTGCGCCCGGCAGATGCGACTCCGGAACAAGAAACAGAGCCAGCACGACTCCTCATTCCCCTTCCAGCCGACCCGGCGACCGACCGCCGTTCGATCGCCGAGCGGCCAGCCGCCGCACTACTTGAAGAAGTCGCCCTCGCCGACTGGAGGCAAGCAGATGGGTCTGCTGTCGCCGATGCAGGACCAGTCCACCTCGCCGATCGCGCAGCCGAATGTGAAGTACAGCGAGGAGGGCGAGGGACCCGCCCAGCATCCGGAGCAGCAGAATGGCAACCAACTGACCGTGGTGGATGGCAACGGATTGAAGCACTCGCTGCACAACAGCCTGCACCACTCGCCGGTGGAGACGATCGCCAACGGAAGTGTGACCATTACCCTGGACGACCATTCGCTGACCAACGGCAAGGAGCTGACCGTGACCGACCAGTACGGCAAGCTGGGTACCATCTACTTCAAGCTGCGCTACTTGGCCGAGAGGAACGCCCTTATGGTCTCCATCATCCGTTGCCGCGGACTCCCCTGCAAGGGAGGATCGAGCGGAACCGGAGATATTCCCACTGGCATGAACGGACGCACTCAGGCGGCTACCGATCCGTATGTGAAGCTGCAGCTGCTGCCGGATAAGCAGCACAAGGTCAAGACCCGTGTGGTGCGAAACACCCGGAATCCGGTTTACGACGAGGACTTCACCTTCTACGGCCTCAACATGAACGACCTGCAGAACATGTCTCTGCACTTTGTCATCCTCAGCTTCGATCGCTACTCGCGCGACGACGTCATTGGCGAGGTGGTGTGCCCATTGACCTCCATCGAGATCGGGGACATTTCCAAAGAGGCCTTGTCTATCAGCAAAGAGATCCAGCCACGGAGCCTGAAGATTCGAGCCCAGGGTCGCGGGGAGCTGCTCATCTCCCTCTGCTGGCAACCAGCTGCCGGTCGTCTCACCGTCGTCTTGCTGAAGGCCCGAAACTTGCCTCGCATGGATGTCACCGGATTGGCCGATCCGTATGTGAAAATCTATCTCCTCTATAATGGCCAACGCATCGCCAAGAAGAAGACGCACGTGAAGAAGCGCACTCTGAGCCCAGTTTTCAACGAGAGCTTCGCATTTGATATTCCCGCTGCCGAAGTGAGTAATACTACGAGCATCATTTATCTATTTTTTGTTTAACGTGACACTATAAAAGACTCTCAACTACCTAAGAACTCAAAAATTACATAATGCTGCATAAAGAGCATGAATTAAAACAAATGATTCCTTATGTTTTTCATTATTTGTTAGTTAATTAATATAGATTCATTGGAATTCATTCATTTGGAAACAAGCTATATTTTAAAACACATGAGTAAATTTGAAAATTGCACTACAATTTTATAAATTATACTATAAATAATACTAATACTATAAATTTATACAGGGCGCTGGCGCCAGTCTTGAGGGTGTGTCTTTGGAACTGATGCTGCTGGACTGGGATCGCGTGACCAAGAACGAGGTGAGTCGATTGGGATGACCTATCCAATAACTGGCTAATTGCACGCTCTGAATTTCCACAGGTCATCGGTCGGCTGGAGCTGGGCGGACCGAACTCGAGCAGCACAGCTTTGAACCACTGGAACGAGGTGTGCAACTCGCCCCGTCGCCAGATCGCCGAGTGGCACAAACTGAACGAGTAGAGGAGGTGCAGGATGCACCTGGGCGCAGGCGCCCCTTTATAAGGGGGAGGAGGCAGGAGCTGGCAACCGGAACGGGAGTCATGCGGCTCATCGGCATGAGCGCGTTGCAACAATGAATTTCCCCCACTTTTAGCATATGATTGCATATGGGTTAAATTTCTTTTCTACGGTTTGTTTGCATTACACTTGATTTCCGCGCGATCACTTGCTTTTACTTTGAAGCAACATTAATGCGAGATGCGAGATCATAGACCGTTTACGCCACAAGCAGAAATGAAATATTTACCAAGCAACCACTAACTAAATTAAATGTATTAGAAAATGTTTAGGACCCTAAAAGTGCATGTAAGTGTAAGATAATTCAGGAACATTTCAATATGGACATGTTCGAATTTAAGAATACGTAAGCAGAAGAATTTTCGATCTTATTTAAAGAGACACCGACTTTGTTGCTGTATAAAACTTTACTTCTACGCTTCATGTTACTTACCACGTATGATTTTCATATCAAACAGTTAAAGTTATATTTAATGTGCCCACCATTCAGTGGTTGATTTCCACGAAGAGATATATTACTAACCATGCATCTGTATAAAATATTTATGATATCTAACGTTTAAGCATAATGCCTGTACAATTTAATTTAAATTCCTTGAACATCTTGGTTTTAATGTAAAGACCCGAAATATACCATTGATTTAATTGATATTAGACACCAATCTGCACACCCAGAAGCTCTTAAAGTGTGTCCAGAGCGAAGCAAAGGAAAATGCTTACTGCTTAACACTTTATACGTACTCTTAAAAATAAAGCAAATAACTAAAACTACAAATAAAACAAAACCAAATTGAATCTAGAGAGAACACGCAGCAGAATGCTTAGCACCAAGAAGCTACAAAACCACACACAAATCGATCGAAAAAGTCAGAAAACATTGATTCGGAGAGGAAACCAACACTAAACAATAATGTAAGCAGCATAGTACACGTAGGAATCAATTACCAGTAACATTCTCTAGAGTATAACCACTCACGAATAGCTCAAACGCAAACCGAACGCAATAAGCACTACATGTGTATCTAGCGGCACTACCTTTAAAGGGAATGGATAGAGAACCCCGAGGAAAGCATAGCTTAACGAGACACCGAATCATTATCCACTACTGATATTAAGTGTACCGAAGGCAATTATGAACTATAACAGATCTACACGTATATAGACATCAGCCCGCTTCTACGTATATTTTGTGAACTGAGTGTTAGAGCATTAAACGTCATTGAATAACTACGAGCATACAAACATAAGCATATACATATACAAGCATACATAGCGATTCGAGAGGATGGCAGATACAACTTCAATTCGTGTCCAATCAAAACTTCAATTCGTCTAATGGAAAAACAATAATTACCAGTACATATGCGATGAGTTTTTGCAGAGGAGCCCAAATTATATGAGATGTGTATAATTCTACATTATATGTAATTGTAATTGTAAGCTACATCAAATGGTTAATTTCCGTAATAAAAGGTATTATATAAAACAATGTGCAGTGCGTGTTTTTAACATCGCTGTCTTATCAGCCTTGGTACATTATTTACTCTGTGGGTATACTAGAGTTAACAAAGTGTTAATTGTTGATAAGCTGAGATTCTTTCGCATCTTGTGCAGTACAAGTATCGCTCTGCTCGGAAAAAGTTTAAGATTCCGCTTTCAAAAACGTTTTCTTTTTATAAAGTATTTTCATCGACTTAGACATGAAACGCGCTGCATCGGGATTTCAGCTAGCTTATCTTTTCCTATTAGGGTGCGGTCTAGGTAAGAGTGTTTTTGTATTTAAGATGTATATGTATATTAAGACGAACATACTCGTATTGCATATCGCCCTCCCTATTATTAGATTGCTCGCTTGCCTTGCAGTGCAGCACAAAAACCAACAAGACTCTTTTAGAGAACCAAATATGCGACGGCGTAGTCGATTGTTTTGCAGATGAAAATTCCGATCGGCCAGATGAAAGGTTCGAATTATGTTATGGCAAGGTCTGCGAGGATGAGAGTTCTTATCGCTGCACCTATGGAGCGTGCCTAAATGGAACTCTAAAGTGCGATGGAAAGATTGACTGTTGGGATGGAAGCGACGAAAATAAATTCGAATGCTTGGAGGATGCAAATCTGCAGAATGAGTACGAAGACCTCAAAGGGGAGTGTGAGTAAGTTGAATTTGCTGTGCAACACAATTGATAACATTGGTCGGGAAATAATTTAGATTGCTAAATATTAAGCTTATAGTGGCCTTGTGTCGTATTATTTATTAGGGACGTTTGGATCCTAACAACTAAATCGGCTTCAAATTTCCAATGCCATACATACCAATTGAGTCTACTTCCGGAACTTTCATAGCTGTAAGCACAAAAATCCCAAATGCTAGCTAATGTAGATATTTGAAACATTTATTTGAATGCTTGTTTGAGTTTTTTTAAATTTATGCACTTATTATTTATATAACTTGTAAGATAAAGTTAAGGCTAAGGTGTGTGGACCATCATTTCCAGAGACGAGGATTTGTTCGATTGCAAGGGGTCCTGTCTGAACTGGAGTCAGGTTTGTGATGGAGTGGCAGATTGCAAGGACGGCAGCGATGAAGACGGCACACTCTGCACGGCCTTCGAATGTCCGCCGCCGGCATTCAGATGTCTCTACGGAGCCTGTGTTAGTCCGAAAGCTGTGTGTAATCACATTCCCGATTGCCTGGATGGGTCCGATGAGATGGCGGAAATTTGCACGGCCCGGAATCCAACCGTTCATCATGTGGATGTCAGAAGCGCTTGGAATGTGCGGCACTGCCGTCTAGAAGATCCGTCGAAGTCCCTGGTGGTGGAGAACTACGTGGGCGGCACCACCTTTCAAAGTAACGCCTGTGTGCCCGACAAGACCGTCGTTTATCTAAGCTGCCGTAAAGGATATGGTCTGATCGGGGCGGAGAAGAACATTTGCGACGCAGACCAGTGGCGGTATCCGTTGGCCAGGTGCGTGCCCCAGTGTAAGCACGTCGGCAATGTAAGCCACATGAGGCAGTGCACCCTGAATGGTCGCCTGATCGACTGCAATCAGTCGGTGCTGCCCATGGGCACTGTAATGTCGGTCACTTGCTCGTCCGGGTGCGAAAAGACTGGAGGTGATGGTGATGGTCTGCAGTACTGCGACGCAACCGGCAATTGGGTAGTTACCAAAAAGCTGCCAAACTGCGAGCCGATCTGTGGTGTGTGGAAGCTCAAAGACGCCACACCATCGTCGTCTCCTCCATGGTTGATGAATGTCTTTCAGCGGGGTCACAAGCCTGAGTTTTCGGTTGTCTGCAATGCCACCATCGTGTCGCCGTACATTCTGGTGACCACGGAGCGCTGTTTCAGCGAGTCGTCCATCAAGAGTGTGCCATCCACGGAACCTGTGCTCTATACCGTCGCCGAGGGAAAGATCTACGGCAACAGCTTCTTGGCCCACGAACCCCATCCCTATAAGCTGCACAACGTGTCCCATATAGTCTATGCTAGGTAAGTCGTAATGCTTTCCGACTGGCGAATTTAGCTATATTTCGGTAACTCAATAGGTAATTATTGAATGGGCTATTATAGAGAAAAAATCAATTTTTAAAAATTTTTTTTTAGGTATTTAGATAAAGGGATCGTGGGTACTTTGGTCCTGGTGCACTTGGTGCAGCCCCTGGAGTTCCACATGAAGTTGCGGCCCGTCTGTCTTACGGAAGAACTTACCGACAACTGGTTAACCGCCGGAGACTTCACAGGTGTTAACCCGGGCCATCCGATCATCGACGATAGGAGGCAACCAGGTCGATACGAGCTTAGGGAAGTAGTTATCGACGCCCGTAAGAAATACCACATAGGGGCGTTTAAGTCGCTGATCCTGAGATATATTGCCGAGACACAGGCGAAGGAGAACATTTAATTCACTTTATTACGGTTTGAGTTTGTGGTTAGTCGGAAATCAATTTACATCAACTGAGGAACACACATCTACTATTGACAATTATATAAGTACGTATGCATATTCAGGTGGCTATCCAATCCAAGTCCAACCGGGAACTGGCGTGTATTTGCATATCTTAGCTATTGAATCGTTTTGTAATCTGCTGTCACACGGTTAAACAAATAATCATTTAGTTCTGCTATCTGAATACCCCAAATGTTTCTATTAATGCGTGTGTGTGTGTGTTGAGTGTGTGGTTCAGAGTTCATTTGCTATTCACTTAACTGTAGGTATTTTCTTTTGTGTTCATTTTCGTTTTGTCTTTACATTGAGATTGCGTTCTGGAGTTAAACACTAGCTATCGGTTAGTTTAACTTTAATTTAGATTAGGATTAAAATTAAAATTACTTTATTTAATAATAATTTAATAATACATTACATTTGATGTTGTTATACTCGTAATTACGTTTAGGTTTAGTTTCTGCCATTTAGTAAGAAATTTTATAGGACACATTCAGTTTGCTTAGTAACTGCAGTAAAAACGCTCTTTAAAATGTTTGATTTTCATCATTTCCTCCGCTGGTTCGTTAATTTCGATCTCTTCAGTCTTTCCAAAAAGTAGTACAACATCTCTTTCGGTTTTCTTTTATACTTCGGTTTTTGCAACTGCCAACATATATTTAGAAATGTTTTTTTTTTTCAAAATAGTTTTCATCTATCGCATAGTTTCATTTATAGTTGTAAACACATTTGATTTCTTGAATTCACCTCGAGGAGATTCTCTCGGAAATATCTGTATTTAATACGATACACCTAAACAAATATATATGAGGATTTGTATGTAAATGTATATTACGTTTGCCGGTAAGTTCACCGTTTAGGTGATGTATATCTATGTACAAATAGCCGATAGCCTAGTGAGCAGCTCTTGATGTCTGCCATTGCTTCAAGACTGCGAGATCCGTGTGCATCGAAAACAAATTCATTTCCAATTCTATTTACAAGCGGCAACAGACGAGGTCTTGGAAAACTAATCACTTGACGGGAACTGGACCACTTTTGCTGGACCGAATTGATATCGCAGGCTCTCTATCGGAACTAGTGCTCGTATTCCAAGACATTGTGTAAACATAGGTATGGACGGTGTTTGTCAAATTAGAGTACGTATCGTTGGCCATTTACAGATTGCTCATCGAGTGCGCGAGAACACCCCTAACTTAACCCAAGAAGATCTACAAAAATTACAAAATGACCTTTACTCGCTACGACTAACTACAAATTAATACTGTACAGGAGTGCACGCCTCGTCTCCGCCTGGAGAAACAACGGATGAACCGCCTCCAACCTAGAAGTACGCCCCTAGCTATCCCTTCTCCTTCCCAGGCCCCACGCTCACGCCCAGCAGGTGCTCCCCCGCCATCAATCCCGCCGGCTGGTGGGCGTAGTTGCGGATCTGGTGCAGCGAGATCAGCTGGTTGGGGAACGCGTTCGCGTTGTTCTGGTTCACGTTCTTGTTCGGGAAGCTGATGGCATCGTAGAGATAGGGCCGCTGGGCCATTGGGTGGTGGCTCAGCGAGTTCAGGTGCGGGGGCATCGAGTTTATCGGCGTGAACGCCGAGTTGCTTGTGGCCTTCGTTATGGATGCGGCATCGTAGGGACCCACGGCGCTGGGGGTCGAGGCTGTTGGGAAGATGTTATGGGCCCGAAGGCAGCCAGAGGTTAGTTAGAGCCAGAGATTCTCATAGGTTTTGTGTATCTATTTTAAATTACTGGTACTAGTACTAGTCCAAGTACTAGCAAATATGTATTGAGCCAAATTACAACTTATTGCCAAACCATAAAACAAAACAAGGTACTCTACTCAGCTAGTGGAAGTGCGAGCGAGAAAATTCAACATTTTTTCGGCATATCGGTAGAAACTGGGATAAGCAATAATGAAATAAATAGAAACTAATAGGTGTTTCAAAAAACGGGGCGCGACAGTTTTGGGCGGCTTGTGGGCGTTAAAGATCGATACAAATTTACCAGACTTAAAGAAAGAAGGAAGATTTATGGAAATATTTTTCAAAAGTGTGTGCGTGGCCGTTTTATGTGGCTTGTGGGCGTTAGAGTGGGCGTGGCACATAAGTAAACAAACTTGTCTCTGGAATCTGCATGCTAAACCTCAATTCTCTAGCCCATTTAGTTCTTGAGATCTCGCCGTTCAAACGGACGGACAGACGGACATGGCCGGATCGACTCGGCTATTAATCCTGATCAAGAATTGATATATATAGATATATATATTATAGATATCTTAAATGACAATGATCGGACACGCTTTCTACTGCCTGTTCAACAAATCGAGTAACGGGTATAATGAGCAAATGAATAACTGTCTTTCTATTTCAAATTGAACTGTATGAAAGCATTTACTTTTTGAATCTGTCAGAGTGCATGGTCTATCTGACAGATAGTATCTGCATAGGTTGTAATTGCATTGCATTTGTGGCATTGCAAGTTGAATTATGTTGTGCATTATGGTGTGTGTACTCTATATAGAAGTGGTTTCTGTAAGCAGTTGTTGAGCCATAAGCTTTGCAAAGGCATTGCAAATGGGAAATAGTCTTGCAGATTGCCTAGGTGGTGGTTGCAGATCGGATCACTTACCAATATCCTCCCGCACGGGATCGGGCATGCGATGATGGGGCTGCAACTCCGCTCCGTGCCCGTTGCTTTGGGCTCCGTTGGGAGCCGTCGGCTGAGCGTAGTGGGCTTCCATGCTGTGCTGCGGAGGAGGCTGCTGCTGCGGATGGTGGTGTTGCTGCTGCTGCTGCTGCTGGGGCGGGACATGTTGCTGCGGCGGGACTCCGTGCTGCGGATGGTGGTGGTGCGCCTGCTGCTGCTGTTGCTGCTGCTGCTGCTGCTGTTGTTGCTGCTGCTGCTGCTGCTGCTGCTGGTGCATCACCTCCATGGCGTTGGCTGCAGCGGCCGAGTCGGGACTTACCTTTGGCCAGTAGCCGTTGTCACTGGGGGCAATCGAGACGGGGGGCAGGCCCAGGTTGTTGCGCTGATGCTGGGCGGGATTGGGCGGCGGCGGCGGGCCATTGGTCGGGTTGGCCGACCCTCCGGCAGCTGCAGCGGCCGCCGCTGCAATGGCCGCCGCACTGCCCGGCACGATAGGTGGCCGCTTGTCCGTCCGCTCCGCGTGCTTCTGCATGTGCTTGGTCAGGTAGGTCTCCTGGGTGTACGACTTGCCGCAGTACTGGCAGATGTGCGTCTTCAGGTGCTTCGACTCCTTGTGCTTGGGGATGTGCTCCAGCAGCGAGGGCTCGTCCGAGAAGCACTTGTAGCAGGAGTTGCACTTGAACGGCTTGTCCGTCTGGTGGCACCGCGAGTGCGACTGCAGGTTGGAGAGCTGCGAGAAGGCCTTCTGGCAGCCGGGATGCCTGCACTTGTACGGCTTGTCGCCCGTGTGCGTCCGGATGTGCTGCTGCAGATGCGAGAGTTGTGTGAACTTTCGCTGGCAGATCTCACAGCGGTACGGCTTGATGCCCAGGTGGATCCGGGTGTGCTGCGACAGATACGACGAGTTGGCGAAGGCCTTCGAGCACTGGGTGCACTTGTACGGTTTCGCCTCCCGCATGTGGATCTGCGTGTGCAGCTGGAGATCTGCCTTTGAGCTAAAGATCTGCGGACGGAGAGTCGGTACTTTAGACTTGGGTGACAAACGGATAACCTGTGCCTGGCTGCTGGTATAACTAGTAATAGATGTGACCCATAAAACCGGAGCCTTTTCTATCTTCGTTTTCCTTAAGGAGCTAATATGAATGCATTCAATACGCAGACTTTAGAGCCCAAAAATGTAATGCCCATTAGCTAGTATAAACAGTATATCTGCATTAGACGGGATTTTCCATTAACATATCAAACATATCAATACAAAACTTAAGGTTTGTTTAACTTAATACACGTGTATAACCAAAAATGTTGTTGTTAGTTCTTGAGTGAAACCAAAGGTTAGCCAAATTATGATTCGCGAAAAAGCTCGGCTTCATAAAAACTGATTTAGGTATCAAAAATGTTCATACAAGACTTGTAGACTTTCCCCACCTCCCTGGTGACCTCCTAACTCAACAGAGAAATTATTCGTTATTATTATCGTGAAATAGATACTTTGCGGCACCCCTAATCCAAATATAAAATGTTGCAGACTTAGTTCGGAAGTTCCCCATCACCTTGGTGTCCTTAACGTCCAACTGGGTCATGTGGTGCGGCGAGCTGGTGGAGGACGAGATGCCATTGCCGGATCCCGCTGCCGTGGTGACATTGCCCACGCCAGCAGCCCCCGCAGAGGAATTTTGAGAATTTCTTTCGTTCAGCGTCGCATTCTGCATCCGGATGCCGCCATTGTCCACGCTGTTGCTGGTCACTATGATGTGCTGGTTGGGATTGGGGTAGATCCGGGACTTGCGGCCCCTGGTGGAGCCGGTGGGGGCGGGTCCAGCGGTGCTGCTGCTCCCACTGCTGCTGCTCACCACTGCATCGTTCACGTGCTTTTGGCTACTGGCCACTGATCCACTGACCGCCGAGGAGGCCACACTGCTCTCCAGATTGGTGATACTCGGCTTGGGTTCCGGCACCAACTGGTACTGGTGCTGCTGCTGCTGGTGATGCTGCTGCTGCTGCTGTTGCTGCTGCTGCTGCTGCGGTGGCTGGGGTTGCTGGTGGGGCTGCTGGCTGTAGCTGAGGACGGAGTTCCTCAAGTCGGCCGTGTTGGAGAACACACTAAGTGGACCCAGGGCCACGCGCTCGTTGAGGCTGTTCCGCAGGTGATCGATGGAGCGATGCACGGCATGGGAGTAATCCCCGCCAGCGGGCGGAATCTCCCCGATCAGCGGCGAATTGTGGTGGTAGTCCAGACCGCCGCCTATCGGCCGGTACTCGATGAGGCGGCCTTCCATTTGGCTGCTTATTAAATCTATTTTGGTTTATTTTTTTCACTGGTCCAAGAACAATTTTTTCCTCGTGGGTTGGCAGGTATCTTTAGGTTTTCACTCTTTCCTTGTTTTATTTTATAGTTTATCTCTGCACTTGTAAAAGATCTTTTTGATTTTTTTAATATGTAATGAAAATTCTATCCTAAATATCCCTTTAACACATCCTCCGAACAGAGATTGAACCCGAGAATTAAATCTATTTTGGTTTAGTTTTTTTCACTGGTCCAAGCACAACTTTACTCATTCTTTCTTATATTCTATAGTTTATCTCTGCAGTTGTAAAAGATCCTTTTGATTTTTTTAATATGTAATGAAAATCCTATCCTAAAATATCCCTTTAACACATCCTCCAACCAGAGATTGAACCCGAGCATTCTCACAACTCGGTTTCTAATGAATGCGAATGCAACAATTTGCGAAGCAGAATAACTTTGTTGAAGCTGTGTTAGCGCTTTGTTGACATTGTGCCCCAACTGCCAAAGCCAATATTAAATAAAGGGGGGAGATAACAGAAACGAAGCTCCACTGGAAACCTGCGAGATCCGACCGCAAAAACGCTTTGGTTTCGACTGGCTGCACCGGGGAGCCGGAAAAGCGACTTTTTGTCTCCGCTTTTGTTGTCCTAAATCTAACGCCATTTTTTCCACGATTCACTTTTATTTTGCATTTTCAATTGGTACGCCTGCTCACATTTTTTCCCTATTCCCCTTAACTTTTTTACGCGACAAAAATATTTTTTCCGCACGAATTTGGCTTTTCTGGCTTGTGTACGACTTTTTGCGAAGCGATTTCGTTTTTCCATTTTCCATTTTCTATGCACTTTTCTTTTTGGGCTGCCTTCGATTAGATTTTTTCTATATATTTGTATAAATGCTTGGCTATGCTTTTTCAACCTCCACCGGTTTTCCCGATTTTTTTGTGGATAGCTAGTCATTCAGGCGCAGACATGCCGCAGACATCCTGTGGAATTTTCCAGGTGAAAGTCCTCTATGGTATTTTTGTGCTCGGTTTTTCATTGAAACGCTCCAATTCGATACCTTCTAGTTCTAAGCGCGACAAATTATTCATTCATGAGTTGAGCATTTGTTTGCTTTGTTGTGCTGTCAATGTGGCTCTTTTTCACCTTGTTTTTATTAGTTTGTTTAGATATAAATTGAGTGGATTTTTTGCGTCTATACCATTGACCTTGAATGCCATTTTTGGTTGTTAGATATTTGCCGGTTCAAAAAAGATGGTAAAATAAATTTGTCAACACTTTGGCTGCTGACATGCAAATGCAAGCGAGCGAGCTGTGGTTTTGGTTTAATTATTGCAAGTGTTAATGCATGATTAACAAATAATTTATGAAATTGAAATGTAAGAGCTGAGAGGTTCTCTGAGATTTAATTGACATGACAATGAGCTATGGAATGCCTGGTGGCAAATATGAAATGCGAAATGAATTTAAATGATTTTGCTGCTTGAAATGGAAACAGAAGTAGCCTAGTACTTTTCACATTTTTTAATGTATTCCTAATTAAATTGGGTACAATCTCTTAAAACGACTCACTCTGTGCTTAGGGGCCCGTAACTTCTATCGAAATGATCTATGCTCATTATGAAATACGTATTCCTTTTTTGCGCAAAAGGCACATAAGCCCGTTCTCCCGCCAGTCAGGCGGTGTGATTTCTTTTTTTATTGGTTTGCTAAATATTGACTTTTTTGACATAGCCATTTAATTTATATAGGAAGCTGAACAAACATGCAGCCCAGGCGGCTATATAGGCGGATTGCACATAATGTATTAATGGCGCAAAACAAGAAATGCAAAAAAGCATTTGAAACTAAAAGCAAAAAATTTCAGCTGGGGAAAATATGATGCCTCTGTCTGTGTTTGCATTTACACTGAGTTTGGGTTGGGTTTTTCCGATTGTGTTAATACGTAGTTTGGGCTTTTAACTAATTAACATTTAGCGGTTTGGCAATATTCTCGCCCGGCTCTCCAGCCGCATTCCCTCACAGATTTGCGGGGGTTGTTATTAATTGAAAAATGTGTAAAAAGTTTTGCGCGCTCTTTTATTATTCATAATTTGCTGTTGTTGCTGTGTTTTTTTTATTTAATTCTGATTAATGCATTTTTCACGCCGCTCTTTAGGTTTTTGTATTAACTTGTTCAGAATCACAAAAATATTTCCACTTTTTCCACAGTTTTTTATTGTTTCAGTTTATGAAAAATGCATTGCGCGATGTTATGTGATACTTTTTTTTCTTTGTGTTCACCTTTTTTACACGGCTAGTTTCTTATGCATTTTAATGATATTTATTTTCACATTTTGCCATAGGAGTTGATTTTGTCAGCTTTTTGCACTAATCATTAATTAATTTCGCATCACTTAAAATATGCAATTAATATTATGTGTGTTTGCCATAATTAAAAATATTCTGTTCATCTTATTAGGAGCGTACGCCCGGGGGACCCTTGTAAGCGTTGTTATCGCCGCGCTAGTCTTTGATAAACTGATCGCTCTCAAAAGGACTTTGGCCCGAATGTCCAACTGGAGCAACAGCTGCTGGCCAAAAGGCCCCATTAACGGCTGCTTATGCGAGCAGTAATAACCGAAATCCCACTCCGGCGGTGGCCCAGCGATCTTCTCAGCCTATCGAGTTTCGGGAACCCAAAAATCACGCTGGACCAGCTCCGAATCAGGTGTTCTGCGGTGCCCAATTAGTTTCAGCTTGATTGGACCGGATCAACTCAAGGCTCGAGTCGGTGAAGTCGAGTGGAAAATTATCTGGCCATCGAGCGGTTGACATTGCGACCAGCTGAGCTGGGAACCTTTGAGAAAACGGACCCGACAGCCCAGCGGGTCTCATGGCTTCGATTAGGATACTCCTTTCAAGCTGATGACAGCTTAGAGAACTTGGGATCACAGGGTTAGAACTTCATAATCAAGTGATTTCCCATCAAAATCTTACTAATGTGCAGATATTGGATATTGGATACCTTTAATCAATGGTCTTCCTCATCCAAATATTGCTGAGATATTTACATTTTTATGTACCAATATCTGTACTAAACTTCGGTATTTCTTTAAAAATTATAATATTTAACTGCTAATCCTAGTTTTTCTATGGCAACCGTACATATGAATAGTAAAAGCTAAAATCATACTCCTGGGGCAATAAGATATCTGCTACAATAGGTAAGAATACCTTTGCAAATATCTAAACAGCTTCAATGACTTATTAGTGTTATTATTTTGAGCCATCAATTTTTAGTTTATTTGCTATGAACTCTATTTATATTACTTTGTGTACCGCAGGTTCATTATTTCAATCTCAGAAGAATTTAAAATATTTCACATTCACATATTTCTACATTGAGCAGTGCTCAAGCTAACTTTTTGTTTTTAAGTACTTTGAAAATATTTGTGATGTGTGCGAATTGAAACTGCACAAGAAAGCGGTGGCAGACAAAGGATTTTTGGATATCTCCCCTTTAGTATCAAAATTCAGGCCATTAAATCTGATTTGGAAATTGGTTGCTTGCTCGCACGCCCAAGTTGCAGAAGTTTTTTTGACCTTGATATTGTGCACAAGAAACAGCTGATACGCGGTGCAGGCACACCAACACATGCACGGCGACCGGCGAAGAACATTTATTATTTATATGTAAAGCCCGCCAGCTTCCCCACAAACACACACACACAC